ATGAGAAGCGAGAGAGAAAAAAATTCCGTGGATGAGGGTCACAGCAGTGAGTTTATGCAACTTTTTTTAAGGTTGGGAGGGGCAGAAGTCCTGAGGAAAAAGTGGGATATATCCTGGGCTGAAAAACAACATTTTTGGATTATGAGTTTAATTTCTCTTTTGTTACATGACAGACAGAAAGAGGAATGGTGGATGGGAGGTAGAACAGGAATGGGCTTCCTTGTGAGTGGAGAATTCTGCATTATAGAAAGCTATGAGCAGCTGTATCAGGTGGGGATCAATCATGGAAACAGAAACAAGTAGTGTTAGATGTACACACACACACACACACACACACACACACACACACAATTTCCTAGTGCTTGGTTCTGTTCCTCTGATAATAAATGCCATATATATCTATACACACACACACACACACACACACACACACACACACACTATATGTACTATATATATGAAAAATAAATATATATTTATTATTTATTTAATAGAGGAACCTGGCAAGCGATTGTGGGAACTGGTTAAGCAGTTTTAAGTCTGTTCAATTCTGTCTGATGATGGAGCTTGAAGTCCACTGGGCAGGCGGTTAGGAGGGAAAGATGGTTATAAGTGGGGAGAATCAGGAGCAGCCTGGAATCCATAAGCAGGCACTGAAACTCCATGAAAACTTACTGGAACCTTGGCTTTCACTGCTTCCCAGCTTGCCGATGTGGATGGCCTGCTGTAACCGGGGCCTTTTCTTAAGTGGCTAAACACACACATCTGGATGAGGCCTTGGGAAGCGGGAGGAGGATATGGGGAAAGGAAGAGCAGTTGTGGGCCCAGACGCCGCTTTGTGCCGACAGGGTGAGTCAACAGATCACCAACAACAGGTGAGCTGCAGAGTGGCTGCTGCTTCCCTCCATCCTCCGATCTCCCAAGAAACTCTCCCATGGCCCACCTAACTAGAAACATATAGGAAACTGAATTCTGAGCAAGGTAATCCCATCTAGCCACACTGGCATATTACAAAACCACCATACTATCTGCAATGAACACTGTACATAGGGCAGGGTTGACTTAGATACTCTTCAGATGCCCAGAAGCAGCTCAGGGAGCCCAGCAGACCTTCTGACTGTTCAGCAGCCAGGCCACTGTCTGGACAGGGAGGGCTCCCTGTGCACCCACAGACTTAGCTGCTTTCAATGTCTTCATCACTAGGGACTTCCCTTTTCTAAGCCCAGCCAAAGAGTGGGAGAGTGTCTTTCTAGCTTCCCTCTTTCTTGTTGCCAAAGGTCGACACATCTGCCTTTTCATTTCAAAAATTTATAATGGCATGTATTATTATAAGCAACAGTGGCTAACATTCATTGACAATAGATAACAGGCCAGATTCTTTCGCATGGACTCTCTCATTAAATTCTCACAACAATCCTATAGGAAAAGTATTGCTGTTACCTTAAGCTTACTGATGCGAAAATTCAAGCCTAAAGAAATTGATTTGCTCAATGTTAGACAGCTGTTACATGTTGGAGCAGGGATTGCAATCTAAGACATTCCGCTCTGGAAAGCAACACCACAAACATCAAACATACCTGATAAAGAGAACTGCCATGCGGTTAAGAACACGTTTAAGGTTTTTACAGTTGAACCCCCTGGTGTCAAGAATCTCCTACTTCTATCCAAGTTGAAGAATGTGTGGTTTTATCAGGAGAGAAAAGTAAAAGGGTAAACACGATCTGAGAAAATCAACAGGTCGGCAAATAGGAGACACTAGGAATTCTAAAAGGAGGAAAAAGAGGAGGAAGACTGGCGAGAAAAATTTTTCTTGTCTTATTACTATCTCACCATGATGACACCATGGTTATAAATGAATTCAAATGGACACATCTAGTTAACGCAAGACATAAAGAGCCAACGGCGCAGTTATGTCAACAGATGGCTTTCAGGCAATTTTTAACGGTAAGTGGCCTAAAAGCTCCAAAAGAACACCAAGGAATGGGGACAGTGGTTTTAGCAACTATTCAGAATTGGGTTCCCAGGGATGCCTTCTCTGCATGCTCAGGGTGGGTCACTATAGGGTTGGCTGATGAGAACAGGCAGACGGTCCTTCAAGTCTACTTTCAGGAGACACCAACAGCACAGAAGCCTTGGAAAATCACTGAGTGCAAGCTGGCGTACAAAACCTGGTTGCTGAGGAAATGTAACAGGTCAAGTGCACAGCTCTCAAACCAGCATCTGTAATATGTGGCTGAGCAGCTATGGTTCCATGTGGCTGGGAGCAGCTGTTTTGTGCAATGCCCAGCCTCAAACCCCTTCTCACCCAGCAAAGTGTTGCTCATCTTTTGAGGCACCTCCCTCTCAGTGCTGTCTCCAGCATTGCCCTTCTGGGCTTATTGCTGTCCGGTCTGTATGATAATTGCTTACTTCTCTGAGCAACTTGAGCAGAAGGACTGTATCCTGCATTTTCTCACATTTCTATTAATAACATTACAAGTACCTTGGGGATGCTCTGTGGCTTAGTCACTGCACTGCACCCTCCACAAAGTGCACACCACCATGACTATGTGAAAGCCTAGAATTCCTTCCTTTCCAAGGCCTTTCAAAGTTCTCTTTCCTCTGTCCCCACTGACCCTGCCCAAGTTTATCTCATCATCATCTCTTTCTAGGAATAGGTGAATAATCTTCAAATATCTCTTCTGCCACCCTCAATGCACGATTTGTCTCTGCTTCAAAAGGACAGGACTTTCTTGAATTGAAGACAAGCTCTTAGGACTGCTCCCAGAGGTGAACCTCCAGGGCTCCAACTTCCTCCAAAGCTATGCTTCACATTTTTTTTTTTTTTTTTAACATCCGGGCATACTTTCTCCCAAAAGCAGTGCTTCCTTCTTTGGCTTGTTGATTCACCCTTCCTAATTGAACAAGCCAAGAGAATACTTCAGAGCCCTTTAACTTTGACCCACAGAGGAAGACAGACCACTGAGCAGCCTTAATTTTTAAAAATCAAGACTTTCAAGACAAAATGATTCAATAGGTGTTATACATACCTGTATATTTCTACCATTCAAAGATCTTTTGGGCACATTGTCCTTAATAATCACATAAGATAGATATTATTGTTCCCATTTTATAAATAATACAACAGAGGCTTGGAGCACTGTGATGGCTTGTGCAACATCTCAGTTGATTAACGGCAGAGTTCAAGAATAAAACCTTGCATTCCCAGTCTAGGTAAGGCACACATCTGAGAAAGCTTCTACTCCATTATTCTGGGGGTTTACTGATTTTAAACTTTTAAGTCATCACATATCTATATATTTTCAACCTCTGTCTATAGGCAGAATGCATTAGAAAGATTTATTGGACAGGCAATCTAGAAAAGATGACTGTGTTCAGAAGCTACTGCTCCCCCCCGTCCTCCTTAGGTAGAAAACCTTAATTTGTCTTTCCAAATTCACTCCCCCTCAGAGAATAGCTTTGTGGATGGAAAAGCAATAATAAAAGACCAAACTCAGTCCAGCTGCAAATGATCAGTCGCTTCTCTCCATTGTGGTAAATCACAGGCTTCCCCCAGGTCTGAAGTTGCTTACATGCTTGGGGAGCTGGTCTGAATAACCTGGCCAGCTACAGGGGAGAGTGCTTCCCCCACCTTCAAACCCCCATTTCTCATTTAACTCTACTCATTAGAGGAGGCTAGGGCACAAGCCAGGTTAACATGTCAATAAGTCACCAAGGAAATGCAAAAATTGACAGCTGAGGAATCCCAGCTCCCAGCCTTCTCCACTACGGAAACCCTCACAGAACAAGTTTCTCAGCCTCCTTGCCAGGTCACTTAAATGAGGAGTGACATTTGAGTCCCTGAGAGTAATTAATTTCCTCTATCTCCAATAGTACCTCATATTTTTAATGAATTTTTACAAGTCTCAGATCCTCCAGCCTCTCAGCTCCCTCCCCAGTCCCGCTGTTCCCCAAGGTCCCATAACGAATAGCTCCTACTCCTATTTGCCTTGCAAACTCACATAAACTGGAAATGATAAATACATTATCTGGGCTTTTTAACGGACCATTGTTTAATTTTCTATGCCTGTCTGGTTGGGGAAGAGATGAATATTACCTTGTGGAGAATAAGATTTCTATTTCATTTAAGGGGGGTTGGGGGTAATCTATGGCAGGAAAGCAACACTCTGTTCATCCTAATAGGCAGTGCTAATTAAAAGTGTTCAGAAGGGACATCCATCTACCAGTCTGTGATTCATTCAGCATTATCCCTGGTAAACAAGAAATAGATACTGCAATGAATGCTTCTAATTTGTCAAAAGAATAGGCATTTTCAATTGTGTCTTCTTGGCTCCCCGTATGAAGTACAGATTTCAGTGTTGCCATCCTTTAAAAGTTTAGGACCTCAAAATAATAGTACTTGCTCCTTAAGCTCGTAAATCTCCGAGTCTGTTTTCAATGTAGAAACATTTATCTTACATATGGTTTGACTTTAGTTTCAACAATCGAAAATGGTTCCTTCTGTTGGTAAATATATTGAGACAGAGGGCATTTGAGGAGAGCTAACATAGTTGTGTTTAAAAGCAAACCATTCGATGGGTATTGAGGAGGGCACCTTTTGGGATGAGCACTGGGTGTTGTATGGAAACCAATTTGACAATAAACTTCATATATTGAAAAAATAAATAAAAATAAAAGCAAACCATTTTGAGACCACCTACTGGGAGAGGCTAAAACCCAGGCAGGAAAACTTAAAACTCCTAATGACACTTCCTAGATAGTTAAAGAAGAGACAAAAGGGAATCATTATTCCCTTTCTGTAAGCACAAACACAAAATAGACCAGGGAAGAGTGACCCTAAGCTCCAATTCCCAAAGGCTCCATGAACCCTCCAGGATGTTTTAAGGAGGAACACAAAGCACAAAGCCACACTTGAAGAGGACTCAGAGACACTTAGGAGCCACTTCCCAGAGAGGAAGATTTTCCCCATACCCGCAAGTCAACCAGCCTCAAATATTTACCTTTGTGTTGTGTCAAAGAGTCCCTCAATCATGAAGATTTAGAGCCAGGGTTCACCACCATGTCTTGCCGAAGGCTGAGAACAAATAAAATAAGATGGTTAAGAAAGTAAATAATTATTTAATGGCCTTATTTTTCTTTCCTCTCTTTCATTCAAGAAACATTTCCTAAATTCCTACCATATACCAGGCACTGGAAATACAGAGGTGGCTAAAACAAAAACACCACCACCACCACCACCAACAAAATCAACAAATCAGCCCATTTTAAGTACTAGGCAAGAGGTGTTACACAATGCCCCCCAGGTAGGAGGGAGTCAGGATACATGTGTATGTGCCTAAAATGTGTGTGTACACATTCATGTGCATATCTGCACATGCGTAGGAATTCTTTTTTTTTTTTAATTTTTTTTTTAACGTTTATTTATTTTTGAGACAGAGAGAGACAGAGCATGAATACGGGAGGGTCAGAGAGAGAGGGAGACACAGAATCGGAAACAGGCTCCAGGCTCTGAGCTGTCAGCACAGAGCCCGATGCGGGGCTCGAACTCACGGACCGTGAGATCATGACCTGAGCCGAAGTTGGACGCTCAACCGACTGAGCCACCCAGGCGCCCCAACGTAGGAATTCTTAAAGAATTTCTCCAACTTCTAATTCGTCTGACTCTCTTAAAGGCATGAGCTTTTGCCTTGAGATCAGTAAAGAAGAGGGCACTGGAGAAAATGTCAAAAGTCTTAAAAGTGATCATACACTTTAATCTGTAATTCGCCTTCAGGATTCCTTCTCAAGGAAACAATATGCGCAGAGATGATCATCACAATGTTATTTGTAAGAAAGAGACAACTGTTACAGGAATGATAAAATGAGTGTTAGTGTTTGTACATAGAAGAATATTAACGCACATATAAAAAAATTAAAAAAAATTTTCAGGATATGAGAAAATATGTAGAATATAATAAAATTACTTAAAAATTTGAGCTCATCCATGTACAAGTTGGTCTTAAAAAATATATCAGCTGCTAACAGTGGCTCATTGTAGCACAATCATAGGTTATTTTTCTCTTGTCTTTATGCTTACCAAGTTTTCTATAATCGTGCATTATCTTCTTTTTTTTTTTTTTTCAACGTTTATTTATTTTTGGGACAGAGAGAGACAGAGCATGAATGGGGGAGGGTCAGAGAGAGAGGGAGACACAGAATCGGAAACAGGCTCCAGGCTCTGAGCCATCAGCCCAGAGCCCGACGCGGGGCTCGAACTCACGGACCGCGAGATCGTGACCTGGCTGAAGTCGGACGCTTAACCGACTGTGCCACCCAGGCGCCCCGTAATCGTGCATTATTTTCTAGATGGTAAATAAACATACAAATAGGAGTTTCAGGGGCAACATCACCATTTCTGTGTCACTTCTCCACACCACCCCCCGCCATCAAAATGGGGGACCCCATGCTCCGGAGTACCAATTCCATCCAGCAGGTAAAACTGTCCTGGGATTGTCCATTTCCACCTCTGCCTCTCTCTACAGACTTATGAACCCTTACTTCCCAGGAACCTAATCCAGAAGCAAGTTCATAGTCATCACTCAATATGCGCTGCATGCATGCATGAATGTATGAATGCATAAAAGGCATAATAAATGGAACTGACCTGACAAAAATTACATTAAGAAACATGTTCATTCAAAATAATCAGTGACAATAAAAGTTAAGTTCCATTTGGATTCACAGAGGACGGAAGAAGACGGAAAGCAGAGAGATAACAATTTTTCTGGTAAGACAGGGAAACATAAATAAATAAATAAATAAATAAATAAATAAATAATAAAAGAAGAGCCCATGGTTAAAAAAAAAGAGAGAAAAACTCAACATAATAGAATACCACAGCCTACTGATCTTCCAATATATTCCAAGCCCAAGAATCTGCTTAAGGCAGGAATATTTATCTAGTAACAACAGCCCATTATGGCAACTCAGTTATTTTACATGTGTGAACTTATATACACATACACTAAGTAGACACTTGTTATTAGTTTTAATCAGCAATGGCTGGTTGACTTCCTACTCAAAGAAAAATATAAAGCTAAGGGATAGGTTATTATAATGTTTTATTGTAAATGAATTCAATTTAGTTTACTCATAAAACTAGTGAAATATAGCCAGGACATTAAGTTACAGTTGTGTTTTTCTGGAGATAGATCTGGTTTGAATCTCATCTCTCTTTTTAAGAGACGGAAAATCTTGGGCAAGTTATTTGACCTTTCTCAGGCTCAGTTTTCTTACATATAAAATGGGATAATAATAACACCAACTTGGTAGGGTTAATGGAGAAAACAAATAAAATGAGAGAAAGCATGGCATTCAAAATTGACTTCAAGCTTATGCCTGTTTACATCAATACTGATCTTCGGTTTCATTATGTGCCATGACATGTGTTGAACACTGCACAAATAGGATTTCATTTCATCCTCAGAATATTTGTTATGAGGAGGCACTATTTTTCCACTTTATAATCCTTTTTATTTCTGTAATGTTGGTAGTAATGTCCCCTCTTTCGCTTCTCATTTTAGTTATTTGTGTCTTCTCTTTTTTTCTTAATCATTCTAGCTAAAAGTTTGTAAGTTTTGTTGATCCTTTTGAAGAATCAACTCTTGGCTTTGTTGAGTTTCTCTCTTTTTAAAATAATTTCTATTTTATCTCATTTTTCCACTTTATAGGTGAGAAAACTGATGCCTAATTTTAAACAGTTATTAAGTATGAGTCAAGACTTGAACCTAGAATGTCAGGTTCCAAAGCCTAATCTCATGAACTGCTATGAAAAGAAGGCATTAAATCTGGGTTTGTATATAGTCTTTGTCTAATAACAAAATTCAGTTTACCATTTTGCTATGTCACACCATATTATTCGATATGCTATGGCTTAAACTTTGTTCCTTGTCAGTCACACTTAAGTACCCTCCTATTTCTTTTCTTATTAAATATTTCAAGCATGAAGTTGAGCACAGACGTAATTATAACCAAAACTTATGTGCTGCCACCCAGCCTGGTCAGATAATACCACCCTGTCATATTCGCTTTAAACATTTTCTTTTAAAAATAAACATTATCAATATAAAGAAATTATCCCATGAATTCCTTCCCATTTCCACAAAAATAACTATACTCCTAAATTTCCATGCATGCTTTTTTACTTCTAATACATGCTTTGCCTCCATAAAAAACATATAGCAGTGTTTTGCATGTTTTAAAATTTCGTTTAAATGATATCCCTCAGTAGGCGTCCATCTGAAGCTTATTTTCTTAAATACGTTTTAAAGATTTTGCCACTTTGATAGAATTGGCTTACATTCATTCATTTTAACATTTAGGTGATATTTTATTATGTATTTAGATTGACTTAATCATTCATATTGGTGAACATTTGGGCTGTTTCCAAACTGAGCTAACAGGAGTAATGCTGCAGTTAAACTCCTTGGACACACGTGTATGAGATTTCTCTATGGTGTATGCATCTTCAAAGTTATTAGATGTAACACATGGCTCTCCAGTGTGGCAGTAGTAATTCATACGAATCTAGCCTGAGTTCAAAGCATTGCCAACATTTGGTATTGCCAGACTTTAAAAGTTTTCCAAAAAGATGGATGTAAAATATCTTCTATTTTTAGCATGCACTTCTCTGATTACTGGTGACAGAGAACATTCTCTTGTTATTTTTATTTTATATTTTTGTAATGTTTTTTTGGCTACTTTAACATATGCCCATTTTTTTTTTCTATTGAGTTGTTCCAGGGAGGAAACAACATACACTAAACATATAGGAAAGCAGAATGTCTAGTGTGTCATATGATCATAGGTGTCATGACGAAAGCAGAAGCAGAGGGGGGGAATGAAGGCGCGAAGGTGAGACCTCAAGTTCAAAAAAGGTAGTTAGGGAAGAACTTACCTGGAAAGTGACATTTAGCAAAGTCCTAAATTTGGTGTGGGCATAAGCCATGGAAAGAAACAGCAAAACGGTAAAATGATAATATTTAATCAAAATATGTAGTGGTACCTCTGGATATGTTATAATTACGTTCTATACTAATCTGCATGCTGGGGATTCAACCCTCTTGCGGTTACGTATGTTCCAACCATTTCTCCTGGTCCAAAGCGTGTCTTTTTGTTTTTAAAAAAAACAAACAAACATATACAGTGTTTAAAATGTTAATGTAAGGCAATCTATTAGTACTTCTTTTAAGGTAGGTGCTATTTTATTTTATTTTATTTTATTTTATTTTATTTTATTTATTACATCCTTTCCTACCCCTGCGTCATAAAGACATTGTCCTATAATTCGTTCTAAAGTTTTTAAAGCTATGCCTCTTGCATTTAATTTACTTGGAATTGATATTCTTTACATGGTGTCAGGTTAGGATTCAGTACATTTTCTGTATATTTATGCATCCTCCTTGTACCATTTATATCTTAGTCTATGATTTCTGCATTGATTTATAGTGATATATTTATCATGTACAAAGTTTTCAGTCAGTAAAGTCTATTTGGGGCTCTAGATTTTATTCCGTTGGTCTAGTTTCATAGTCCTGTGCAAACCTGTTTTACCTTGATTACTATAATTTCACCCTAAATATTCACAGTTGACAGGGCCTATCCATCTCTCCATCTATCCATATATACCTACATCTACCCATCCATTATTATTATTCATAAATATTTGCTGAGACCATAGTTGTGCCAAATACTGCTTTGATCACCGGAGATTCAAGAACACACTAAATGAGTATTTCTGCCCTCATGAGCTTACATTCCAGGGGATGGAGACAGACACCAAATTAAACAAAGCAATAAATACAAAGTATGCCAGATGATATGTGCCATGAAGAAACGTGACATAGGGGAAGATCATTCAGCAGATTATCATCCAGGTGTTAACGCCTGATACAATAAACTGAAAAATCTAATGGGACAACAACAATGAAAAAAACACTCCTTTTCAATATACACCGGACCTAGAGTTTGCAGAAAAAATAAACAATGCTCCTGCTTGGAATCTACTGAGAGTTTACAACTTTTGGTGAAGAACCT